CAAAACAGTAGAACATAATACCATGATTTGGACATACATGCATACCTATGGCTGCCCATATATTTATTATCCATGTAACTATCCCAATAGCAGGTTGGAGATGAAACATTGTATTTACTCAAATGAAAATAAATTAAAAGGGACAATCATCACTTTGAGACACCTGCCTCATTCAAAAGATTTAGCTTTGAATGAGATCACAACCTCACTCTGAATGCTGAAAAAAATAGATAAATATGATCTTTACCTGCTTCTATTTTCTTATATTTTTCACACTCACTCCATGGGGGGCTCTGATCTAACCAATTAGTGTCCTATTCCTAAGAATGCTGGGAAAGTGCATAGGGCATGCATGGCATATTAACACATGGGCAGCTGGAAGAACTCTTCACCTTACAACATTCTGAAATGGAGGAAAGTGAGGAAGTGTATTCAGTGTGATCATACAGACCAGGCTCCGGTCTCGGTTTTCTCTCTCCTAATTCTGGATAGTGATGCCCTTTTTCTCTCAGTTAATGGACTGGTCTGAAATGTAGATGGGTGTGTAAGGGAAATGGTAGGAGGCTGAAGAAACTCCTCTAGCTGAGAGGTGTCCCCAATAATGCAATCTGATGACATTTATAGTAAGTTTATAAAAGTTTATTACATCATTTTGAAAGTGTTTATTGCTTTATTTTGGTTTGTATATTTATTTAAAAGTGTTTGCTTGCTGATTTATAAAATTAATTGTCAAGTGATGCATGTCCCTTTAATCAAAACCCACCGGAAGACACTTCATTATAACAAAAGGTTAACCATAAACATTTTGCAAAATAAATGAAAAATTAGAATTTCGAGGCCTGTTTAATATATTTGACAGGTTAAGTCATTCAGCAGTCCTAAATTTAACTCTCATGCATTTCACAAGCTGAAAAAAATCCCAAAACCCCATAAAAAAGAGAAAACAAAGCTGGTTGCCATAAAGATCCAGCAGAACATAACCAGGGAAGGTGTCTATACTGCCCAGTGCCTGGAGATGTCAAAAAAGTGCTGACCAAGCAATAATCTGAAGGCAATTATTTGGTCGCCTTAAAATATGTATTTTAGTCATTCCTCCCTAGTCCACTTTTTATTAACTTGAGTACTAAAATTTTCTTTTCTTTTTCTTTTTATATTCATTGTTTAATTTAAAATCAAATGTTCTTTTTAAAGCATATGTACCGTCATGCTACTGTTTTATGACATTCATAGCAGTTTGTACATTGAGTGCCAGCATGCAAAACTGTGTTTGCAGATTAAAAAAAAAATATATGACATTTAAAACAGTACTAAAGTTGTATTTTTTTTTAAATGCATTTCCTTTTTTCCCTCTTAAGAAAGTGTTTTTAGTTTTCAGGTTATAGCCAAATTCATTCTATGAATACATTGGTCTTCAACAGTCAATATGCATGAAGGTGCTTTTTTGCCCTCAATAAACAGGAGATCTACATATCTAGCTCTTATACCTAATAACTAGATCTTTTGTACCAACGTGGTGTGATAATAAGTGTCACTCACTCTGAAAGCATTAAAGGATCACTATAGGGTCAGGAACACAAACATGTATTCCTGACCCTATAGTGCTAAACCCACCATCTAGGTGGCTTGTCCCCCTTTACCTCCCACCCCCTACAAAAGTTTAAAACTCACCTTATTTCCAGAGCCAAGTGGGTCCGCCGGTGCTGGCTCCGCCTCCTTTATGACATCATCAAAATGGCCATCACGGGGCGGGGCCAAATGTTGTTTTGGCCAATCAGGACCTCCTCATAGAGATCTCTATGAGGAAAATGCAGAGCTTACATGAAAATGCCTGAAGGGAGCTATTATACTCACCAGAACAACTACATTAGGCAGTAGTTGTTCTGGTGACTATAGTTTCCCTTTAAGAGTGTCCACAAACCAATAGGAACCAACACTTGGTCAGCAGAGCACAAAACCTTAACAGATGTATGTTATGAAAATGTTCTCTATCCTAAAGGGCTGCTAAAATTGCCATTTTACTTCTTCAAAATATTCAAATTGTATTTTTAAAGTTTAGAGGTTTAGAATTTTAGATGAAGGTACAAGGTTGATTCAGGGAGAAATTGGATTTTCTTTTCTGAATATTTGTAGACTGCCCTAGATTCAAAATTAGACTTTTTATTTTGTCTGTAGCAACAGAAACTATGGACCTTTTTGGATGTACACCTAATATCTGCCTGACTTCATTGTACACCCTGTAAGTATGAAAATTAACTTTTATTTCCTTATTTTGTATATGTGGAATAACTATGGATTGCAGTCATAAAATATGTAACAAATACAAGGACACTTATTGCTTTGCATCAGATTACATTGATTTCTCCTGTCTAGAATGAACGAGGCAGCACTATTTAGACATTAGAGGTAAACTACCATATTTTATTTACTTAATTCTGCTCACAACATAAATGAAACATCCTTTAATGCACAGCTGTGATAACACGTTCTGTCCTTAACATACTTCATAGAAGACTTCTTTACAGTGAATTAATTTACATATTCTGTCAATTGCACATTTATTGCAATATATAGATACTGTAGATAGATTGCCACTTTGAATAATTCCTTTTGCATTATTCATGTTTAATTTTCATGTATTATACTCCAAATAACAGCATATGTATGTGTGTTAACTGCAAACGTTAAAGCTTAAGCATGTACAAATTTATTATTTGGCACCGTTGAGTTGTTTACTTTTTCCTGAAAAAAATTGCTGTAAAAGTTTCAACTAACTTTAGTATCACATATGCTGATGTTACATGACTCACGTCAGTTATTAATGCATTTCTCGTCTCTCTATACAGAACTTTGCAGAGTTATAGCTGGTGTGATTACTTCTCTAGCAAGCACTTGCTACAGAAATATAAAAAAAGAGTATTAGTGATCCATCACAACTACCACAACCACCTCTAAAAACTGTAGAGGTGATAGTGCTTGGAGTGTCCCTTTAAAAACTTTTTTAAGTCCTGAGGCATTTCCAAACTCTGTGTGTTTGTTACTGAGGATGTTTTTGCATTTTTGCTATATGTTTGTTCCATTGTTCTTTCCCATTAAGTGGACCTATATACTATATAATTTTTAAAAGGACAGACAATGCTTTGTTCTGATAGTGTATATGCATGTATAGCATTATTTATAAAAAAAATGTGTAAAAGTGAGTGTGTAAAAAGGTACTAAATCAAAACAGATTCACTTATTAGTACCGAATAATGAAGTGCCCCATGTGTTCAGGATTTAAATTTGTTTGGAAGTTATAGGATAAATATTGCAAGGAGTGATTTATAGTTTTAGAGTTAAACCTTTGCAAAATATGGTCTGTTGAGACAATGACTTAACAGCAATCGCATTAAACCATTAACCGAAACCACTACATAAGAAGAACACATTTATAGAAATTGGATTGCCAGAGCATTTTGACACTTTTTAATTTTCTATTTTATCATCAAATTCTGCAGAATTGAATATGTTATGTTTTTACTACATATGTTTCTTAATTGGGAAATGGGAATTTCACAGACTATGTGTCCCACTCTGTAAATATCACATCATTTAACCCTGCTACTGCTCTTGAATATAGCAATACGCCCATATAGACATTTGCAAGATTTTCTTGAAGTTATAGGGTCAAATGGCAGATTTTCTAATATCAAGTTTCTAATTTTCACTAATGGATTCAATGAATTTTCTCTAATGATACATCATAAAAATATTCCAGTCTTGACACTGCATTCTGACTTTAGACAGTCACCGTAAAAAGGCACCATCACAAAGTGCATAATTAATGACAAGGTACCCTGTACAGCAGTCATTACAAAGGATTATGAAGAAACCAGAAACATTTGGGATATGGCTGTAAAATCCAGAATAAGGAACAAAAAAAGATACACATCAACGTTTTTTTAATTTGGGACGCATGAGATCGTGGAATGCGGAAGTATTATTCCGTCCGTACTTCTGGTTCCGGTTGGCCACAGGTGCTATAGATTTCAATCGGGACCAATAGAAACTGGGATGAATGGAAACACCCATGAATTCACCAATGGACATAGAGAGTAGCCCTATATAAGTGAACTAGTAGATGGGGGGTATTAGGCTGCTTTGTCAATGTCCATATTTGATGTTCCCTACCATTAACCTACATGCTGCAATTCAAACTACATTTCCCATGAGGCATTTCGGCCACTAATGCCGAAAACCACGTGACCTCTCTCAAACTGCCTTTTTTTAAACACTTAGCCCCTTCGTTTTGGTATTTTATCCCCTGCTGCCACACTATATCAATCTGGTAATTCAAATAATTCAGT